AGAATAATGTATAATAAATAAGAATATTGACTAATTTATTGTTAGAGAAATATAAGGTAAGTTATATGATATAATGTTATTGTATAGTATTGTTAGAGAAATATAAGGGAAGATAAAAAAATGTTAATCTAATGAAAGGGTCCAAACAACTTTTTTAAGTAGATTTATTTAGACTCCTTCTCTTTTAATAGTATAGATAACAACACTCACATAACAAAATATTTTTAAAAATATATTTTTACAAATGTATTGCTTTAATTTATTTAATTATAATTTTTTCTATCTTAATTTTTTATTTCTATAATAATAAATATATTTTCAAGATAACAATATAATACATAATAAGTATCTTATTTTCTCAAAATATAATTTTTAATAGAAATTCGTTTCTATTTTATAATAAATTTTATATGAAATTAAAAGTAGGACAAATAATCAAAATTATCTAAATCATAGAGTAATTACAAATCAAATAATTCACTTAAATTTTCTAATAGAAAATATATGTTCAAGATAACAATATAATACTTAAGAATTATCTTATTTTTTTTAAAATCCAATATTATTAGTATACATTCGTTTTATTATTTAATAAATTATATATGAAATGATTAAGAATTATCTTAAATACTTAAGAATACTTAAGAATTATCTTATTTTTTAAATCTAATATTATTAGTATACTTTTCATCGGGAAAAGTGACTATTCTTACCCAAACAATTTCAATCGTGCCAAATACAACCCGAACAGATTGCATGTGCTAAATACGACATGAATTACGTAATTATTCAAAAAAAAACTACGTGAAATTTTTAAAAACAGAAGTTAGACATCGTTTTGATTTCATCATTTTTTTTAAAAATATGCACATTCCAGAACTCGAACCCATGCCTTGTTACTCTTTAAATAGGCACATCAACCACTGGACTAAATCAACTTTTTAAGTAATACTAGAAATTTACAGTTATATATGCTAAAATACTTTTCATCTTCTCTAATTAAAATTTCGGTTATTATTATTTTCGATTCTTATAAATATATTAACATACTTAATAAAATTATAAATCTAAAATATAAATAATAAATATTTATAATTATAAAAAAATTAAACATATTTCATGTTTTGCAACTATTTACAAAATTTCCATATATAAATTATTTTAAAATTTTAAAATTTGAAGGTTAATTTATTTTGTTTCTTAAAATTAATATAAGTTGAATGTACTTTCCCAAATTAAAAAAATTACCATTTAAGTTTTATATATGGACTTTATGGACATTTTATACATAGTTGCAAAATTTTGTAAAATTTTAAAATAATTTATAAATAATTTTATAAATAGTTGCAAAACATGAAATAGTTGCAAAATAGTTTAAAATTTTGTAAATAGTTGCAAATAAAAGAAATTAACATTTAAAATTTGTAACATTTTGTAAAATTTTAAAATAATACATATGGACATTTTGTAAATAGTTGCAAAACATGACACATATTTAATTTTGTATAATTATAAATATTTTATTATTTATATTTTATTATAATATAAGTTTATAAAAGATATAATAATTAAAACATGTTAATATATTTGTAAGAATAAAAAATAATAATAACTAAATTTTTAATTAGAGAAGATGAAAAAATATAGTAGCAATGTAGCATATATAATTGCAAATTTGTAGTATTATTTAAAAAATTACTTTGGTATAGTGGTTGATGTATGTGTTTAAAGAGTGACAAGATATGGGTTAGAGTCTTGGAATGTGCATATTTTTTTAAAAAAAATCATGCAATCAAAACGACATCGTTTTATCATTTTAACGGTTGACTTACTTATGTTACGGTCAATGTAGGTTTAGGAATGTTTTAAAAAGGTCAGGTAATTTTTTTTGAATTATAATGTAGTTCAGGTCGTATTTGGCACTGATAGTTTGTTCGGGTTATATTTGGCGCGATTGAAATTGTTTGGGTAGATATATGCACTTTCTCTATATAATATACTAAAATGGGTCCATGAATATTGTTGTAGAGAAACCGTTATGCAAATCATTGCTTGAAACCGGTGATCAATTAAGGGATTATTATTAACAAAATAATTTATTTTTATTGTTTTTATTTTATTTAAAGAATTTATATCAACAAAAAAATGTGTATGATGTGAAATACCATATATTTCCTCAAATTTTCAAAAGATTTAAGTTTTTGAGTTTTCACTCGTATTAAAAAAATCAATAAGCACAATTAATTTTAAAATTTAATAAAAATATATTAAAGTGTACAACAGATATCTTTCTAAAAAAAAATTCTATAAAACATGGAACATTTTGAAATAGGAAAAAAATTCTTTAGAATTTTTTAAAGTTAAAATTTTAATTGACAAATCACAGAAATTAATTTCTGGATTATAGATCTATGAGTCATAGAAAACAAAATTCTAAATTAATTATTGACTTTAACAGAACTCAAGTATTTACTATTTCACTTATAAATATCTAAAATACAGTACATGTTAATTTTCTTTCAAAGTTACACATCTTTTTTTATTAGGATAATACATTATAATATAGATAACAACATTAGGCAAGTAGTTTAGCTAGTTCATCTACTTTCTGTGTTCCTGAGGTATCACTTCTCTGTAATCTTCATCAAGCTCATCCATTCTCTTCTTAACTCCTCAACTCCTTCCTTCTCCTTCTTCTCATAGCTCTCCACTCTCACTGCAACTTCTTTTCTTCCAGGAATCACATCACTAATTGTCTTCGCCTCCAAGTTTTTGTATCCGAATTGTCGTTAAACTCTTTCTTAACATCTGGTTGTTCCTCAAACCATGCTGGAAAACTGGCCCTACTGTAGCTACGCTCGAGAAGGCGACGGGTTTTGCAAAAGACTATATCTGGATCAAGATCAGCAGCGTCCAACACCAGCGTCCAACACCAACGTAGCCCTGCTCTATACAGCTTGTTTCAACATATTTAAAAATCTATCTACTCTTTGTCTGTTGATCTCTTCCGATGTTTCTGAGTCTTGTTCATGTGAATCTGATGCTTCATCTTCTTCCGGAGAGACAGTATCAACTTCGATTTGATATCTGTAAAACTTAAGCAAGTGCTGAATTTCTTGTGTGTATTTCATCGTGAATCTCAAGCTCAATATATACAACTCCACATGTTTATCTAACTACTGATTTATACTAGAGTATTTATATCTGATATATTACATGTTTATCATAACTTAAATACATAATTATCCCAACAGCCCCCCCCCCCCAAGTAGGAGCATTGCAAATGCCCAACTTGGACATAAGATGATGAAACTGAACCTTCCCAATGCCTTCGTCATAAGGTATGCCAACTGCTCCTACGTGCCAATGTACGTACAAGTAATCATCCCTCAATTCAAAGCATCATGAACTCGGTGACAATCTATCTCAACATGTTTAGTTCTCTCATGGAAAACTGGATTAGACGCAATATAGAGTGCAGTCTTGATATCGCAGAAAAGACGAGATGGAATTCTCGGTGCAAAGCCTAAATCAGTGAGAAGTTGTCGCAACCACTTAACTTCGCGTGTAGCGATCAACATCGCTCAATAGTCTGCCTCAGCTGAAGAGTGAGACACCACATTTTTATTCTTATTTTTCCAAGATACAGGAGAACCTCCTATCATAGCCACATAGTCAGCATGTCCCTCCGGTGGCTTCTTAAGTGTCCCATCAATGAAACCAGTCTTTCTTTTGGCTTGTAGAGCATTCATCATCTCCATTGCCCACTCCATCTATTTTTTCTTTTTAGCTGAACGGAAGTGATCATAGCTCTGAAATTATCAGAGGAGAATATAGAATAGGGTGAACTTGCACCTTTCTCTCCGGACACGCCGGCCATAATTGCTTTATCATCTCCCATGTCTTCGTTGAGAATGAAAAACAAGAGTCGTAAAACTTAAGAAAAGCAAAGATCGATTGAACTGGATCTATTGCTTTGATACTATGTAAAACTTAAGCAAGTGCTGAATTTCTTGTGTGTATTTCATCGTGAGTCTCAAGCTCAATATATACAACTCCACATATTTATCTAACTATCAA